TAAGTCCATACTCCAAAAACTCTAAATATTAAAAATAAAAAATCAACAAGCACTGTTACAGTCTGTTTCACAGTTAGCAAGAATTTATGGGTTCCTTGCTTCTCTTTAGCTTGAAGAAAACCTTGACGTTTCTTTTGTTTCACACAACCGCATGTTGTGCTTTACCTTGGCACTTTATTCCTTGGATTCTGCCTTTTGTCTCCTATTTCCCTTTTGCCACTACCATCACTAATTGCGCATAATTGAATTATTGAAATTAGAATTGAAGGAAGGCATAATTCAATTCAAATACATTCCAATTATAGTTCGAGATTCCGAAACTAGGTCGTAATTTTTCATTCAATCTTGACTCATAATGTTGTTAGATATATAACATTTGAAGATGAAAGTATAAATGGCCATTTATTTGAATATATCTGATGTTCGAAGTGTTAAAATGTTTTCATAATTAAGTCATGTCAACGATAAATAGAATCCCATAAAAATATTACTAGATCGAGCACTAGTGATTTCATGTCCAGTCGAAACCTTGGCTAAATGATCGAAATGGGTAGCTCTAGTAGACTCGATGTTGTTTAAAATGCTCGAAGTATTTGGAATCCATCCATGTACGAATGAATTAGACAACCACTTTTATATGTATGATTAAAGTATCTTAATGACGTAGCCAATTATCTAATCACTAAGGTTAGAACCATATCATTTTGCAATTGATTACCTCATATCCAAAGAATGGAATATCTTAAACAACCATTATCCGCATGAAGTCTGAACCAAATGCCCTTTTCCTAACTTTTCCTCTTTTTCTCCACAACGAAATCCACTATAAGCAAAAACCCCTTTATCTAATTGTATTGGTTTCTATCTCCAGTCTAATCCGAGATTTGATTGATTATAATCGAAGAAACTCAACAAAATAGTAGTCATCATCATGTTTTGCATCACAATTTAAATACAATTAGGTACTGAACAATGAACATTTAAATACATACTGACTTAGGCCTGTTTGTTTTTTATTATCAAATTCTACAGTAAATCAATTCTCATTTTCAACCATACATTCTTTAATAAAATAATATTTTCATCACATCAATAATTTTTTCTTCTTTTTCAACCACACATTTCCCATCATATCACTATTCAAAAATCAATTTTTCCCCCAAAAATTCTTACCAAACAAGCACTTAATATATTATTATGACACTCACTAAAATAATAGTTCCTAAGAATTTAAGAGAACCGGAAAAAGTAATCTACCTAGTGTGTCGCTCCTCTTTATGTTGGTTGCTGCTCGAAAACCCTATGAATACAAAGTCGATATTCACTTCACAAAAGCAATTTTAATCAATGAAGTGAAAAAAAATTGCTTTACAAATTCGATCATCAACCCTAATATTCAATATTACATAATTAACTCCATATTTGGCATCGCTAAAAAATCTGATTAAAATTTTAGTCACAGTTAATAATTAATTTTAATCATAAATTTTATAGAACCAATACCTTTTCAATCACACGTTCAATAAATTTTTATTAAAATTTGCTAAAAATATGATTTTAATTTCTATCAAATAGGGGCTAAAATTGAGATAATTCATTATAAATATATAAATTGAATGTTAAAATTGAGAGCATTCATTATAAATATATCAAGAATTATATAGAAATATTTTAATTAATGGTAAGTAAAAATTTCAAATTGAAATACAATCATAATCAAATTGGCGTGCTGATTGTTAAATTAAATTTATTTATTTTTAATTATTCTCCCACCACTACGCGGGAATGATGTCCGTCTCGCGCGGAAGATCCTCGTTCTCACGTGCTTTTATTTTATTTGAATAAACTATACACGCACGTTTATACATACAATGAATATATACAAACCAACCCCCCACAGGCCCACACCACAAATCCGCGTATAAATAGAAGTCTCCCAATCGACGGTTAGTTGTAGACCTCTGTTTCTCCCTTCTCCAAAAGGCAAGCAAAAACCATAGCATCAAATATTCAAATCTTTCAATTTTGAATCCAAATATATAGCCTATGGATTGGGTTCGCGGTGAAAAATTGGGCTTTGGAAGTTTTGGGAGCGTGAATTTAGCAGTACCCAGAAAACAAAGCTCTCAATTTACTCCTTTAATGGCCGTGAAATCTTGTGGGGTTTCGCAAGCAGCTTCACTGATGAACGAGAGATTGGTTCTGGACGAGCTTAAAGATTGCCCAGAAATCATTCGTTGCTTTGGAGAAAGTTCTACTTACGAAAATGGAGAGAAATTATACAATGTACTGTTGGAGTATGCTTCCGGTGGAAATTTGGCTGATAAATTGAAGAATTCTTGTGATCAGAGGATGCCGGAATCTGAAGTCCGGGGTTACACTAAAGCTTTGCTCAAAGGGCTTCACTATATTCACAAGGTAGGTTATGTTCACTGTGATATTAAGCTTCAAAACATTCTAATATGCCAAGATGGTGGTGTAAAGATTGCGGATTTTGGATTGGCGAAGACGGCCGGAAGAAAAGAAAATGGTGTTTCGAGTTATGAATTAAGGGGCACACCTCTGTATATGTCGCCAGAGATGGTCGCCGGAGGCGAGCAGGATACGCCTGCTGATATATGGGCACTTGGGTGCGTGGTGGCGGAGATGGTCACCGGAACACCGGCGTGGAGGTGCTCCGACTTGGCGGTGCTTCTGATGAGAATTGGGATTGGTGAAGAGGCGCCTGAGGTACCAGGTAATTTATCAGCAGAAGGAAAAGATTTTCTTGAAAAATGCTTTGTGAAGGACCCAAGTAAGAGATGGACGGCTGATATGCTCCTAAATCATCCCTTTGTTGCGGATAAAGATTTTGGTGACGCTGAAAATATTGCCTCCACCTCTCCCAGATGCCCATTTGATTTCCCTGATTGGGCATCATCAGTTACATCTTTTCCGTCGCCGGAATATTCTCCAGAATCTAACTTCTGGTTTTCCAGCAACTCAAATTTGACAAGTGGGTCATCGTCTATTTCGCCGGAGGACAGGCTGCAGGGGTTAATAAGCCATCAAGATCCTGATTGGTCTGTTTCAGATGATTGGATCACCATTAGGTGATGAAAGACTAGTCGTATTCAAATTTTTTGAAGATGCTATTCTCCAGGCACTGAATTTTTATTTTAATTTAGAGTTTAGTTTTGAGGATAATTTTTTCTGTTGTACATAAAATTGATAGAGAGGGGATACATGCAAGGATATGGATGCTGGTACTTTCTTACTTCAGAATCCCGAGTCCCTGATTGTACAGTTAAGTTTAATGTAAATAATTACATTAATTCAATTTATAGTTTTTTCTTGGAAAAATGAGAGTTGCAGTGTTGCTTGGATGTGTTAGGCAACAGTGTTGATATTTTGCCCAATTGTCCATTGTCTACTTGCATGATTTATTGGGACTCTGCTTATTTCTTGCAACTTACCAATTAATCCATATCAATAACCCAAAGATAATATTAGAAATAAATAATCAGATCCAACTTGAAATTTTTGCACATATAATTTGTTATGACTTGCTATTAGCTTTGCCACGTGGCCGACCCAAGCGAGGCTTGTTACTCAATCCGAGGTGGACATTTCGGGCTCTGTGATAATTCCGAGGGCCGTTACTAATTCGAAGCAGCTCAGGTCCGAGGCTCCACCCAGCTGATGACGGCCCAAGTGTAGAGATCTTATTTGAATGATTGATATGACTTGTAAAAAAACGTATTTTGTATTAATAGAATGTGAGAACATTAAATGCCTTGTAAAGTTAGGAAAGTCAACATGACGGCTAGGATTTGAAGTTTGGACCGAGGGGATGAGACCACGTGTAATTTCATCTAAGGGTCACCATTCCGTTTGTAACGCTATAAATACCCCCACCATGAAAGAATTGAAGACTAATGCAACTTTAGATATTTGGAGCAATTTGTTTTATTTTCTTATATTTATTTACAATCTTTAATATGAGTTTATAGTGATCAATTTTTATTATACAATCGTATCCCGGATATCTTGCTGGAACCCGTACGGAAACGCCTCGTGTCGTCGAGCTTCTCCCACGTCCAAGTTTGAAGTGATCTTGACCATTGATCAGCCTTAACGTGTTGGACTTAGCTTGCCCATACACGAGTAGTTCCGGTATCTTTGGGCAGCACATTTAGAGGTCAACATAATCAATGAACATGCCATAGGGTTAGACCTTTACCTTAGTAGCTGCCGAGCTCAAACGTAGTCAATATGGTGATGAAATGTTATTCACTGGTTCATTAATGTGAACTTGAAATCTTAGGTCTACATTCACGAGGTCTTCTAAAAATGGCCATCTTACTAAACATTACATCATAATTCATATGTGAACATGCTAAGTTGTATCCAGTTGCAATTGTTTTAGTCAAGTCTTGATGCAGCAAATGCATGTATGTCCGGATTCTTGCACCCTTACCTAACAGGATGTTAGAAAATCAAAGGAACTAATGTGACTATATTAAGAAACGTCATGTAAGGATTTGATAGCGATGTTTGGGTATAGTCATTAGATTAGATCACAGAAAAATAAGGAAAACCGGTTAGAATGTCGTAAATTTATTGGGATTATATACTTGTTGAAAAAAAGTGATTATGCAATATAAATTAGTAATGTTGAAACATTCAAAAATTTAGTAAATTTAATAATGTTCACACCATATTTTTTATTTGTTTCTACATCTTCATTGAATTTAAGGCCCTCAACCTTTGTTTACCATAACAATTATGTCACTAATTTTTCCATCGAATTCTTGTATTCAATCTTCTATTAATTAGCCAATCTCGTCTTCAATGATGGCTTGTATCTGTTGACCTCGAAAAATGACTCGACACGTGGCCAACAGAAAATGTCTTCAAGTAAGCTCTTCCCTGCAGACGTGACAAACTGTTAAGTCACTTGTGGCCTTTCCCGGAAGGGTTGGGAGCGGCCGCAAGCACTCCGACGGTCAAGTCAGTTTAAATTTCAACCGAAAAGGAGTTCACCGCCGGTGGAACACTCGCGGGGAAATGGTTGACAAAGTGTATATCAACAAGTGCTAATATTTAAGGAAGGAGAATACTCAATTTCGCAATATAGTAATAGTTTGGAGTATGTTAGATTTCAATCCTTCTTTAGGCATAAGGAGAGAGTATTTATATCGAGGATGGAAAGATGAGAGTCGTTGATGGGGAGACACATGTTGCCAGATCTTCAACGCTAGTCCCATCCTAGGTGTCAATCCGTCCCTCCGCAGGTTGGCGGCATTGAATGTTTCTGACAAAAGTAGCTGATTTGACCGTTTGGGTTCTGCCGCACGTTCAATCAGTCAGTGATTTGACTTAGGAAAGATCTTTGAAGGGGCGAGGTGAGGCAAGAGGGGCGCTGCAGCGTTGTAGAAGCGGAGTGCGGGCCTTTGCATCCACAGTATACGTACAAATGAGTCTGGTTCGTTTGCTGACGCCTATTTAGTTCGTTCTTGTGGGATCATTTCGACATATCCAGTCAGCTCGTCCCATGAGCAATCACTTTGTCCGCCACATGGTATGGTGTGGGCCACCTATGATGACGCGCAGAGAGTGAGGTGGCGGGTCTGGCTCAGACCCGTAACAATATCAAAATATTATATTTATGTGTTTTGAAATGAAGAAAAATACTCTGTCTCACTTTTGCATTTATTAATTTTTAAAAAATAAAATGGGCAAATAAAACATTTTATTTAATCATAATAGATATTTTGACTGAAATCATAGATATGCGAATTATAGAAAAAGTAAAAGATTACAATCCGTCGAAAAAGTTTGGGGTATAAGTGCTTCAATGAGCAAAAATTGATGATCTTAAATACTATTAAAATGTGATGTAATTAATAAAAATTATTATGTGAATATAATTATTCATTTGGTAATAATAAAAATTCTAAAAAAGTAGGTAAATGATCTAAGGATGCGTTTGATTACCAATATTTTTCATGAAAAATACGTTTTTTCC